TCATTCATGGGATGTGGTCATTGCTGGCTAGCCAGCATTTGTTGTCCATCCCCAGTTTCCCTTGAATAGGTGGTAGTCAGCTGCCTTCTTGAACTATTGCAGTCCACATATTGTGGTTGATCCACAATGCCCTTAGGGAGAGAATTTCAGGATTTTGAGCAAGTGACAGCGAAGAAACAGCAATATAATTCCAAGTCAGGATGGTAAGTATCTTGGAGGACAATTTGCAGGTGGTGGTGTTCCCATGTATTTGCTGTCCTCATACTTCTAAAAGGAAATGGCCATGTGTTTAGAAGGTGCTGTCTGAAGATCTTGGACGAATTCCTGCAGTGCCTCTTGTAGATCATTTACTTTGCTGTTCCTGAGCATCAATGGTGGAAGAGTAGATTCTTGTGGTTATGGTGCCAATCAAGCGGGCTGCTTTGTCCTGGATGGTGTCAAGCATCTTGAGTGTTGTTGGTGTTGCACCTATCCAGGCAAGTGAAGAGTATTCCTTCACTCTCCTGCCTTGTGCCTTGTAGATGATGGACAGGCATTGGGGGATCAGGTGGTGAGTTACATGTCGCAGTATTTCTAGCCTCTGAATTGCTTTTGTAGCCACTGTATTTATGAGGTGAGTTCAGTTGAGTTTCTTATGAATCGTAACTGCAAAGATATTGATAGTGGGTGAATTCAGTGATGGTAACACCATTGAATATCAATAGATTGTCTCTTATTGGAGATGGTCATTGCCTGGCATTTATGTGGTGCGAATATTACTTGCCGCTTGTCAGCCCAAAATGGATGTTGGTCCTGATCTTTGTGCATTTGAACATGGACTGCATCAGTATCTAGGAGTTGCTAATTTCACTAATTTATCATCTATGTTGGTATTTTTAAGAGGCAAAGTTGAAATTGTCTATATCCTGTAGTCTTTCCTTTCTCCTTTAACTTAGAAATTTTTAAAGTCTAACCACAACTTGCTGATTTGCATCATCTCCTCCAGCTTTTTTTTAAACGTTGTTGGTATTCTGTAATTTGTCCAAAGGTGGTTATGTGGATTGGCCATGGCAAATTGCCTCTAGTGTCCAGGGATGTGTAAGTTATGTGGATTGCAACTCCCATGGCCAGGGTTACAGGGATAGGATATGGAGGGTAGGTCTGGGTGAGATGCTAGTTGGAGGGTCAGTGCAAACTCAATAGCAAATGGCCAGCTTTCATACTGTAGGGATTCTATGATTCTATGTTTTGATTCTTGCTGATTTCACTATGTATTCAAACTTTAACATTCTGTGGAAAATGTGAGATAAAAGTATTACAAATCTAGAGAAAACATGTAAATGATGGACGGCCATCCGGCTAAAAGGCTGTGCACATCTAATATTTTACATAAGTTCTCAGCACAAGAGCACACGTTCCAAGCCCCATACCATCTCACTCTCCCACATCCACCCACCACCACTGAGGTAAACAGTAAAGATTAGAGTATGCTAGCAATAATCAGTGACACCCATAAGATGGCACTATTTTAGTTACAAAGCTTATTAGTGAGCTGTAATAGCAGTGACTTTAAAATGAAAAATATACCTTTTACCTTGTAATCTTTGTCTAGATAATGTTTTATGTAGATCATGTAACATTATGTAGATGAATAAGACAAATATAGGCAAATTATGACTGATTTTTAAATTTTCTACTTTTATTCCTTTAATGAAAAATGTCTTCTCAAAATCCCTTTGAATTTGCTTGCTATATGTTTTTCATGGAGCAACAAGAGTACGAAATTCAGTTTTCCTTTCTTGGGGGGGAATGGAATGATGTTAACTGTTTGGATAGTGGCTGTTTGATAATGATGTTTAAACTGCTGTGTTCATCTTTTCACATTTAATGTACCTTATTACAAGTTTGGTTTAACACTTTCAACCACATAGGCATTAAAATCCCACTCTGGAAACAATATATTGACATCATCTTATCAGCTAATTAAAAAATATAAAAGGAAAAGCCCAATGTTAATATTGTAGACAGCATGTTTTATAAAGTAGATTTTTTTGAATTTCCACGTTTATGGTCACCTACATAATACTTAACTCAGTTGATTATGCATACAGCGATAGTGACAATTTGTTTTTTTTTAATAACAGGTATAGCTGTGGTAACAGTGTCCATATCAGATGCATGAAAATTTGGGCAGAACACCAGGCAAAGACTGAGAATGAAACCATTGTCAAATGTCCTCTCTGCAGAGAGGAGTTTGCACCACTTTCTCTCCTGCAAGAAGAATTTCGAAACTCCACAAAACTTCTGGCCGCAGAAAGAGAAAGACTTGACAGACATCTTGGTATTCCATGCAATAACTGCCAGGTTTGTCCAATTCAGGGCAAATGTTACAGGTAAACAGATTTCTATTTCAACTTAACAAATATCTAATATATAGTGATTTGTTGTTTTGTTTAGAGCATCTACACCACTTGCTGCTGCTTATATATATTCTCTTTAACATTCACAGTACAGATTTTTGGCTGAGAAGATTAGGGTGAATCCAAAGGGATTCTTTAAGTTTATTAAAGGAAAAAGAATAACTAGAGACAGAATAGGACTCCTCGAGGACCAAAGTAGACACGTATGTTTGGAACCACAGGAGATGCGCCAGGTCCTCAATGAATATTTCTCCTCTTCGTTTACAGTGAAGAAAGACATGAAGACTTGGGAACTTGGGGAAGTTAGTGTGGATATTTTAGGGACAGTCCAAATCACAGTAGAGGTGGTGTTGGAAGCATTAGAATGTATGAAGATGGATAAATCTGGTCTTGACCAGATATATCCGAGGACGCTGCAGGAATCTAGAGAAGAAATTTTGGGGGCCCTGGCTGATATATTTGCATCCTCGTTAGCCACGGGTGAGATCCCAGAAGACTGGAGGGTAGCGAAAGTTGTGCCCTTATTCAAGAAGGGCTGCGAAGAAAACCTGAGAATTACAGACTAGTAAGCTTAACATCTGTCGTAGGTACGTTACTTGAGAAGATTCTGAGGGATAAGCTATACATGCATTTGGAAAGACAGGGTTTGATTAGGAGTAGTCAGCATGGCTTCGTGCGTGGGAGATTGTGCCTCACAATTTTGTTAGAGTTGTTTGATGAAGTGACCAGGAAGGCTAATGGGGGCAGGGCAGTAGACGTAGTCAAATAGATTTCACTAAGACCTTTGATAAGGTTCCACATGGTAGGCTCTTCTGGAAGGTTAGATCACATGGAATCCAGGGAGAGCTGGCAAATTGCATACATAATTGGCTTGATGGTAGGAAGCAGAGAGTAATAGTGGAAGGATGCATGTCAGACTAGAGGCCTGTGAATTGTGGTGTGCCTCAGGGGTCATTGCTGGGCCGTTGCTGTTTGTTATCTATGTCAATGATTTAGATGAGAACGTACAAGGCCTGATTAGTAAGTTTGCAGACAACACTAAAATAGGTGGTATCATGGACAGTGAGGTTACAGAAATTGCAGCGTGATCTTGATCAGCTGGGGAAGTGGGCCAAGAAATGGCAAATGGAGTTTAATATAGATAAGTGTGCATTTTGGAAAGTCAAATCAAGGTAGGAGTTTCATGGTGAATGATACGGCCTTAAGGAACGTAGTGGAACAGAGGGACCTGGAAGTTCAGGTGCACGGTTCTCTGAAAGTGGAGTCACAGGTAGACGGGACAGTGAAGGAGGCTTTTGGCACACTGCATTCATCAGTCAGAGCATTGAGTATAAGAGTTGTGAAGTTATGCTGCAGTTGTACCGGACATTAGTGAGGCCGCATTTGGAGTATTGTGTTCAGTTTTGGTCATCTTGCTCTAGGAAAGATGTTATTAAACAGGAAAGAATGCAGAAGAAATTTACAAGGATGTTGCCAGGACTCAAGGGACTTAGTTATAGGGATAGGTTGGACAAGCCAGGACTTTTTTTATTTAGAGTTAGGAGACTGAGGGAGGAATCTGATAGAAGTGAATAAGATCATGAGGGGCATGGATAGGGTGAATGCGCTCAGTCTTTTTCTCAGGGTTGGGGAATCAAGGACAAGAGAGTGTCAGTTTAAGGTAAGTGGGGAAATAATGCATGGGAACCTGAGGGCCAACTTTTTTAACGCAGAGGGTGGTACGCATGTGGAATGAGCTGCCAGCTGAAGTGGTAGAGGTGAGTACATTAACAACATTTAAAAGGCATTTGGATGAATACATGGATAAGAAAGGTTTAGAAGGATATGGGCCAAGTGCAGGGAAATGGGGTTAGCGTGGATGGACATTTTGGTCAGCATGGACCAGTTTGGGCCAAAGGGCCTGTCTCTATGCTGTAGGACTCTATTTCATCAAATGCTGTCTTGTATGATGAAACACAAATGAAAAAAGTTTTGAAAAATTGGGTTCTTTTCGTTAGAGCAGAAGAGATTATATGTTGACCTGATAGATTAAAGTCATGAAGATATGCAAAACTGTAGGTAGAAACAGATTTACCAGTGATTGACAGATGTTGAAGTGCCTTGCAGCCCACCACCTTGAACATTTATTCTATGACTGATAAACTGTGGCATCAGTGTGTCCATCTACAAGAAGCACTGCAGTAACTCAATGCTCCAATGATAGTACCTCCCAAACAAAACATCTCTGCCACCTAGAAGGACAAGAGCACTAGATGCATGTGAACACTACCACCTGCAAGTTCCCTTCCAAGCCACGTACCATCCTGACGTGGATCTATGGTCACGATTCCTTGTTTGTCATTCGGTCAATATCCTGGAACCCCCTTCCTAATAGCACAATGTGTGTTCCTACTTCAATGATTGCAGCAGTTCAAGAAGGTAGCTCGCCATCACCTCTGTAGGCAATTGGGGATGGGCAATACATGCTGGTCTAACCAGAGACACTCACAATCCCAACAAAAAATAAGAAAAGCATGATTATATCCTGTATCATTTTGTGTGGTATTAATGCAGATCTAAATGGAATAGATTTAGAACAGACCTTGTAATTCAAACCATTGAGTTTGAATTGAGTAGGAGTAGGCCACTGGGCATTTCAAGCTTGCTTCACCATTCAATAAGTATCATGGCCAGTCCTGTATCTCAATGCCATGTTCCCACTTGGTTCCCCTATCCCTTAATGCCTTTAAAATCTAGGAATTTATATCTCTTTCTTGAATATATTCTGTGATTTGGCATCCACATCCTTTTGTGGTAGAGAATTCCACAAGTTCACTGCCCTTTGAGTGAAAAATAACTTCCCTCGTCTCAATCCTGAAATGGTCTACTCCATATCCTGAGCCTGTGTTCCCCAGTTCTAGACTCCTGAAAGAGGGGAAACATCTTCCCTGCATTTAGTCTACCAATATCCATCCTACATCAAGGCTAGTCAGCCTTGTTAAAATTTTGTACACCGATCAGATCCCCTCTCATCCTTCTAAACCTTACCAAATACAAGACGATATTCTGTTGTCCCTGGTATCAGTCCAGTGAATATCGACTGTACTCCGTCTATGACAAGTATATCCTTTCTCAGGCAGGGAGTCCAAAACTGCACACAGTACTCCGGGTATCGTCACACCAAGGCTCTGTATAAATGCAGGGAGACATCCTTTATTCATGAAGCTCTTTGGGCTATCAGCACCAACAATTGTAAGCAACCACAATCCTGCCATACACCACTCTGTCTTTTCTTAAATCAAGATTTCAACCCTGGTTCAAAGAAGAGGGCAAGGGAGCATGCCAGGTGAAGCATCAGATAAACCTAAAAATGTGGAAATGGCATGGGATAGAAAGAACAAATAGCTCCTGCAACAAATAGATCAGAACTAAGCTCTACAGTCATGCCAAATCCAGACATGAACAGCAGTGGACAATTAAACAACTAATAGTGGGAGGAGGTTCCACAAAAATTGCCATTGTCTAATGATGAGAGAACCTAGCACATCAGTGAAAAAGACAAAGCTTTTTATCCATAATGATCTATCTTGGCCTTCTCTTGAGGTCCTTTATACCATGGATGCTAGTTTTCAACCAGTTTGATTCACGCCATACGATATCAAAGAACAACTTCAAAGGCTATCAGTCCTGTAAACATTCTGACAATCGTACTGAAGACTTCCACTCCAAAATTAGCTATTTCCTGAACCAAGCTGTTCAAGTACAACCACAACAATTGAATCGATTCAGCAATGTGGAAAATTGTCCAGTTATATCAAATCTACAAAAAGCAGGACAAATCCAACCCAATAAATTTACTATTCCGTCAGTTGATTCTCAACCATCAGCAACGTAACGGAAAGTGTCAGCGACAGAGCGATCGAGTGGTACTTGCTCAGTCTTGACCTCTCACTGACACTCACGTTAGTTCTGACAGGATTAACTCAACTCCTGACCTCCTTTCAGCCTCCATGCAAATATGGAGAAAAAGAGCTAAACTCAAGAGGTGAAGGGAGAGTGACTACCTTTGACATTATTGGCTCGGTTAACATTTATTGCCCGTTCCTAATTGTCCTTGAGAAGGTGATAGTGATCTATCTTTCTGAACTGCTCCAGTCTATGTGATGGAGAGAATAGATTCAGTGTGTTCAGGAATGGCATTCCAAGATTCAAACTCTGTGATAATGCAGGAATATTGATACAGTTCCAACTAAGTTTTGGCTTGGAAGAGAATTTATTGGAGGTGGTGCTTGTGTGTATCTGGTGCCCTTGTTGTTCTAGGTAGGCAGAGGAGATAGGTTTGGATGGTGCTATTGAAGAAGCCTTGGTGATTCCTGAAGTGCATTTTGTGGATTATACATACTGCTGCCCAGTAATTCAGTGATGGAGTGAGTGTTGAAGGTTGGGGATGGGATGCCAATCAAGTGGGCCTGTTTGTCATGAATACTGTCAAGCTTCCCAAGTGTTGGAGCTGCAGTCGTCCAGGCAGGCAGAGAGAATTCTACACACTTCTGACTTGTGCCTTGTAGATGTTGCTCAGGCTTTTGGAGTTAGGAAGAGAATTACTCACCACAGAATTCCTGGCCTCTGACCTGCTGTTAAAGCCACAGCATTTATATAGCGGGATCAGTGGCAGTTTCTAGTCAGTAGTAAGCCCAAGGATGTTGATAATGGAGGACGTAATAATGGTGGTGCTATTGAACGTCAAGGGGAGATAGTTAGATGCTCTCTCATTGAAATTGTCATTTGCTTGGCACTTGTGTTGTGCAAAAGTTAATTACAATCTATAAGCCAAAACCTAAATGTCATCCAATCTTGCTACATATGGTCATGGAATGCTTGGGTTTCTGAGGAATTGCAAATGATGTTGAACGTTGTGCAAACATCAGCAAACAACTCTACTTATGATATTATGAGCCTGGAAGGTAACTGACTAAGTAATCGAAGATGATTCGATTCCAATCACCATAAGCATTTTCCTTTGTGCCAGGTACATCTCCAACCATTGGAGGCTTCTCTCTCTGATACTCATTTATTCCACTTCTACTACTTTTCCTTGATATCAAACTCTGACAAATGCCAACATCTTGTAAAAGAATGTTAAGAAATAGCAGTCAAAAATGAAGTGGGAATTTGAGTCAGGGAGAGAGCGAGATCAATATGGGATTATGGAGTGAGGGGACTTGGATCAGGGAGAATAGGGAATGGGCAATTGGATTCAGATCAGATCAGAAGTTTGAGAGTCAGAAGAATTGGAGTCTGGGTGGAAGAAAATAGGGAATTAGGTATGCCTTTGGAAGCAACATTACATACAGACCCTGGAGAAACTGTAGCTGCAACAAAATATGCGAGAATATCACTGAGATCACCAGGCAGTAAAGGCTTGAGTGTAACTGAGGACTTCACTGTAAATAAACTGTGAAAAATTGTTTCTGGTGGTGAATGAATTGGAAAAAGTGTCAGAGACTAAGAATTTTTACTGGAAGAACCAAGTAGAAGAGACCAGGAATGTTCTTGAATTGAGGGCCTTTAAGCGACAGGATACATCATTGCAAGTGGTTACTGAAGCAGACAGCAGTGTTTAATGGAGGCAATGAGGGTCTCACCCACCTGCTAGACAGCCAGCATAAACCTGTGTTACTTACTTTCAGTAAGGCCCAGCAAATTGAATGTTAGTCAGACATTTAATTGGGCATCAAAAGGCCTTCCCTGGGACCATGGGGACAGAAATCCTGCTTGTACCACCCTTCCCAAGAGTTGCCAGCAAATCTGGCTACAATTGTGCTTTAATCTGCAGGAACACCACCAGCTGCAAGCCACTCACTATCCAGACCTGAAAATGTATTACCATTCCTTCAGCGTCAAAATCCTGAAACTTCAGCAGTATTATGTAGTACTTACACCAAATGGACTGTAGCAGTTCAAGAAAATAGCACACTACTACCTTCTCAAGGTAACTAAGGATGGGATATAAATGCTGACACAGCAATGAATGCCCCTATCCCATGAAAGAATTCTTTAAAAATGAGCAGCTGCTACTAGCAATGCATTGACCCAAGGCTTGGAAACTAGGGAATAGGTATGCAATGGTGGGATGTCACAAGAAAAGGGATTCAGCAGCCTAATCCCATTCTTCCCTTGCTATCTCCTTTTATTAGGCTTTGAGTGCTTTTGAACACAAGGCACTCCTGGAAGCCCATAAGTAGACCAATAGAGTTTTGCTATTTTGGCTTACCATACAACAAGCTGCCTTTCTAGATGAATTCTAACGCAGCTGGCTGAGGCCCTTAAGTGAACATTAATTGTTCATTTAAGAGCTCTTCAATCGACAGCAGGTGGGAAGGCCATCCATGAGGTTTTCTGCCCCATACTTAATCAGGGCAGAGATAGAAAGGTGGTGAGGCTCCAATCTGCCACCTTCAACCCAATTTTAATGTCTCCACCTATTTTCAAACTCGATGGGCTGAAGGGCCTTTTCTGTGCCCTATGAACCTATTATCACCATCTGCCTTTGGAGAGTGCTTTAACTTCCATTCAGAGTCTAGAATGCTATTTAAAAAGGAACGTAGTAAATAATTATTCTTCCTTTTATAACGGAAATGAGGATAATAATGTTATCAGAGGTCATGAAGGAATTAGTGCCAGTGATCTCATTCTGTTTTATAATTTATTTTATTCAGTTAAAACACTCCGAGGTTAAGTTTCATTCCATTCCATAGTGGGTTTAGAAGTATTAGGGCTGACCTGATTAAATCGGTTTTGAAGAAAATTTTTTGAACATATGTTATAGGGGTGCAACACAATTCCCCATATAGAAGTCCCTAAAATTATTAGGCAAGAATCCACAAAAAGGACCTGAAATAAAACTCACCCTACTATGCCATCTCCTAAATGCAGACGGATATTAATAGATTAAGTGAATAGGCAAAACTAAGAAAAATGGAATTCAAGGTAGGAAAGTCTGAGATCATCCATTTTTACACGGCAATTATTATTAATTATTATTAACTAATTAGTGCAGGTTTCATAAATCAAACCTATATTCCCTTGAATATAAAAAAAATGGATGATCTAATTGAAGTGTTTAAGATGAACAAATGAGCTAGGCTGATATCCACTGGAGTTTAAAAGCCTAAGAGGTAACTTGATTAAAACATATGATCCCAAACGGTCATGACAGAATGGATACGGGGATGATGTTTCCTCTTTTAGGGGAAATCTAGATCTAGAGGTCACTATTGCAAAATAAGAGGCCACCCATTTAAAACAGAGATGAAACCATTATTTTTCTGAGAATGTTGAGTCTTTGGAACTTAACTTGATGGAAATGCATTGGAACTGGTCTTGGGTATTCTTAAGACAGAGATGAATAGATTATTGGTGATCAAGGGGGTAAAAGATTGTAAGGGATAGGTGGTGGAATTGTGTATTTTAAGATTACAGTCATCAGTCACAATCTCATTAAATGATGAAAGAAGTTCAAGAGGTCACACAGTCTACTCCTCCTGCTCCTTGTTCTTAGCTTGTAGTCCAAAAAGCATTCTCACCTTAGGAAAATAATTAAAGAACGGGGTTGGGCAGGGAACAACAGAGAGGGAAAAAAAGACTAGGCAATTGGAGCCAAAAAATGCAAAGTGCAGAGAATTGACTAATGGGCAGGAAACAGCAAGTGGGGATGAGGAGTTCTTTTTCAGGTTGGTGACTGATAATCAGAAGGGTACGACAGGGATCAGTCATGGATCTCAACGTTTTACAATATATATTACTGACCTAGAAGAAGGGAGCAAGCATACTAAAGCCAAATTTGTAGATGACACAAAAACATGTGGAAATCCAAGTTGCAAGAGGGGTACAAGCAGCTTACAGAGAGATATTGATAGGTTAGGTAAGTTGGTAAAAAGTTGGCAAATGGAGTATAATGTGGGAAAATATGAAGTTGTTCATTATGAAAGGGAAAGCAAAAGAACAGAATATTATTTAAATGGAGAAAAACTGCAGCGACCTGCAACACATATGGTTGGGGGAATGCTTGGTGCAGGGCACTTGTACACGAAACGCAGAAAACTAGTATATAGGTGCAGCATGGGGAGGTGATGGCCTAGTGATATTATCACTGGACTTTTTATCCAAAGACCAAGGTTCAAATAACATATTGGCGGATAGCTGAATTTGAATTCAATAAAAATTCTGGAGTTAAGAATCTGATGATGACCATGAAACCATTGTCAGTTGTCAGAAAAAACACATCTGGTTCATTAATATTCTTTAGGGAAGGAAACTACAATGCTTGTAGGAAAAGATCATGGAATTTCAGGGATGGGTGAGTCTTGATTACCAGGCTGAGCCATAAGATGATTGTGTCCCTGTTGTGAAAAAGCATCTTTTGCATGAGATGCACGGCTGTCCCTCCATGCAAAGCAAACTACAATGCTTACCTGGTCTGGCCTACATGTGACGCCAGACCCAGAGCAATGTGGTTGACTCTGAACTACCTTCTGGGCAACAAATGCTGGCCTTGACCTCATTACATGAATGAATAAAAAAAGTAATTAGGAAGGCTAATAGAATCTTGGCTCTAATTTCAAACGGGTTGGAGTATAAGAGTAGGGAAGTCTTACTGCAACTGTACAAGTTGCTGGTGAGACCACATCTGAAGTACTGTGAGCAGTTTTGGTCCCCTTATTTAAGGAAAGATACTATTCAGGCAATTCAAAGAAGGTTCACTAGAATTATTTCTGGGATGGAGGGATTGCCTAATGAACAAAGTTTAAGCAGGTTGGGATTCTACTCATTGGAATTTAGAGGAATGAGAAGTGATCTCATTGAAACATAGAGGATTCTTAAGGGGCTTGACAAGCTAAATGCTGAGAAGATGCTTCCTCTTTTAGAATCTTGGACCAGAGGATATAGGCCCAGGATAAAGGCAAGCTGATTTAAAATTAAGATAACTAGGAATTTCTTCTGTGAGAGTTAAGAGCCTTTGGAACTCCTTACCACAGAAGGGGAAGAGTCTTATGTATATTTACAGCTGTGATGGATTCTTAATCAGTAGGAGAATCAAGGGTTATATGGGGAAAGTGGATATCAGGTATGTTGGATCGGCCATGATCCTTTTGAGTGGCAGAGCAGGCTCGAGGGTCCAAACGGTCTGTTCCTGCTTTTTATGGTTTTGTGACCTCAATTTTTCTAATGTTAATTAAACTGAAATACGTAGTTAATGTTGGTTTCATGCAATGCATGGTTAATATTTAATAAATTGATGCAAACACTTTTTCTGTTTCCCTTTCACATTCTTCAAAAGGTGTTTAAGATGTCCTGATTTTCACCTTTGTCAGGAGTGTTTTCCATGCCTGAACCATCCTCAGCATGAGTTCACTTTTCGAGAGGTAATTCTATGTGTTTTACTATTACAATAATGTGATTGTTGTACGTGAGTATGGAGTAAAGATGATGCAAAAGCAGTAGTAACAAGTACTTAACCAATGATAATTGTTGCAAATAAGTATGCTTAGGGATGAACATGGAGAAAGTTTTGGTAACCAAAGCTATTTATTCAACTGCTTACATTATATATAGAGTAGGGAGAGACCTACATGACTATAATAGAGATAGTAGGAACTGCAGATGCTGGAGAATCCGAGACAACAAGGTGCAGGGCTGGATGAACACAGCAGGCCAAGCAGCAAGTAAGTTCTACTCAGAACGACTTGTACCTGGTGTCATTTCCTGTGATGTCATCAGCTACCATATTACTATATTACCATATTACCTTATACTGCACTCTCCACCCTCAACATGTATTTATTCTTTCCCATCATTAAAGTTTGCATTTCTATTCATTTACCTGTATATTCACTCCCTAGTAAGCCTCTTGTAGCAAGACTTCTAAATCAACCAGGGTTCTCAACTACCTTGCTCCTTTCCCTGCCAGAGCATGATGATGGCTGGTGCTGGTTGTGTGCTTCCTTCTTAGGAGTGAAGATGAAACTAGTCTTCTTTAATCTTTGAATAAATGTGCTATTGTGACATCTTATGTGCTGTTCTTGCTTGTAGAATGAAATGTTTTTCGTTTCCCCCAACTTCTTGTTCGGGTAAATCTGGCTGGGCTTCTTCCAGTTCAGCTTAAGTACTGAAGTACCTGGAGTTGAATTGGATGCTGCTACTGGTGAATTCTCTTTGGGTGATATAAGACCACATGCGCTCAACAAAGAATTGTTTCAGAAACTGTTCGTGAAAGAGTTTGTGAAATTTCTCATCCCTATTCTGGAGTTTTTCTGTCAAACAGCTTAAGACCTTCAATGAAGTGCAAAATAGGCTGTCAAGGCATACTGTAGAAGGCTGGAGGAGCTCTAATCTCAGTCATGGCACAGCATCTGAAAGGATGGAGATGGCTGTTCTCTTATTGTGCTTAAATCTTGTCTTATGGCAGTTGGTGAAGAGTTTTGCGTTGAGGGCTACTTTCCCTATGAAAGTCTGTTCAAATACTTTCTACTTCCTTAGATAGGAAATTTGGATCTTTGTATTTAGCAGATGTACCTGCTTAGTGGTTCCTCAAAAAGCAAACCCCTTATCCTGGGAATCTGCTTAGTGAACCTTTTCTGAACTGCTTCCAACATAAGTATCAGTCCCCTTAGGTAAGGTGGCCAAAACTGTACTCCTTGCCGTGGGTCTCACCATTGCTCTGTACAATTGTAACAAAACTTTTCTACTTTCACACTCCAGCCCCTTGCAATAAAGCCTAATGTTCCATTTAACATCCACTATGAACTGTTAGGACTCCTTAAAATTACCTAGCATTGTGACTCTTTTTTTCTTCAATTAGTTAACAAGTCTACAATCCATGCTAATGTATTACCCCAACATCATAAGCTGTTAACTTAGTACGTGATACCATATTGAATGACTTTTGGAAATCCAAATACACTACCTCTGCTGGTTCCCATTTATACACTCCAACCCCCCATCGCATATTTTCAAGTAAGTAACACATCAATCAAACGTAATTTCCCTTCCACAAAAACATGTTACCTCTGCTTTTTGACATTCTAAATGTCCGGCTATCTTTTTAATAATGAATTCTTGCAATTTTCCTGGTAATAGACCTTAAGCTCACTGGCTTATAGCTTCCTGTTATCTATCTCCCTCCTTTCTTGAACAGGGGTGTTACATTTGTGATTTTTCGATCTGCTGAGACCTTTCTAGAATCTAGGGGACAATGGAAAATTCTAACTAGTACATCCACTATTTCTGCATTCACTTTCTTTAAGATATTAGGATGCAGGTCATCAAATCCAGTGGACTTGGTAGCCTTCAGTCGTATTTTAGGATCACCTGTGATAGTGATTATTTCAAGTTTTTCCCCCGCCTTATACTGCTTGATTTTATACTGTTCTTGAGATATTTTGCTTATTTTTACTATTAAGATATATGCACAGCACTTGTTCAAAGCATTTGCCATTTCTTTGTTTCCATTATTAATTCCTCAGTCTTGTACTCAGTGGGATCTATGCTCATTTAGCACTCATTTTAATTTTTTTGCAAGCTTGTAGAAGCCTTTACTGTTTTTATATTTCTTACTAGCTTTCTCTTGTATATCCGTGAATCCCTTTTGATAATCTTTTTAGTCATACTTTGCTAATTTCCAAATATTTTCTAATCATCTGGCCCACCACTAATTTTCACTTTGTTATATGCTTTTTTTTCTCATTTTGATTTTGTTACGATGACTTTAATCATTTTTGTGCACTTGAGTTTGAAAGATTGTGGATGCCTGGATTTGTTTTTTTAAAGAGGTCAGTGAATGGGCGTAAGAACTTTACCAACAAACGTCTTTGTTGTGATAAATACTTGTTTGCTGGAGATCTCCTACTTGGGTTTATGACTGTCAGATTACAGTGTCTGATTTGGATATCATTTGAAGTAGTTGGCAGCCAGCCTACTGAAGCAAAGGAGCTTCACAGTTTTACTGTCCTGTTTCTGTAAAAACCCTTCTTGTGGGTGCAATGCGGTACCAGAGCCCTGGTTCGGCTGCTCCAGTGCAAAAGCCTCAAAGGGTTTATTAATAGCTCCTGCAAAGCCTCCAAGCAACAACTGCATGCATTGATAGACAACTATATTTGCGCTGCAGACCATTGGATTGACAGTCATTTGAACAGCTCAGATCTTTATTGTTTTTGCTAAATAAGACATTTTGCTAACTTAGAACTTAGACATATTTGCCAAAAGTGTTTCTTTTTACTCCAAAGCAAATATCTGCAAAGAGAAATCTGTTTTTGCTTCCCCTTTGTATGGCATGTATTTGTAGGCATAGGATTTGAGTTACTTAGAGGGGTAAATATTCATATTTTAATATCACAAACTCTATGTTGACCAATTCTGCATCTGAAGTTTTTTCTGAGGGGAGGAATCTATAAACTACTCCCACTAATGACTTATTTCCTTTGGAATTTCTTATCTCCACTCAAGTACCAACTGTATTAGGCATGTATGGTCTAAACATTCATTCAAATTTTTCTAAACACCAGAAATAGGTGTTTTGTTTTTATTTTAGAAGAGAAATCAGCGTTGGAAACCAGTACAACAGGTTTCTGGCATGCCTTTGCCGTTAGCAGTTATCAATGATCTAATGAACAGAGAAATAATTTCCAATGACTATGATCTACTTCTGCAGTTAGACAGGTAAGTGCTTTCTCAGCAGTGATGACACTTCATGTTTTATTCATTAGAGGTGAAATTACTTGATGTCCTTTATGGGCCAGACCACAATCAGGAGAATCTTTCATTTAAATAAAAACCCAGACGAAGGATCTGTTTGTGCAAAAAGTGCCAGGACTGAAAAAGGATAAGTGACAAGCTTGATCCAGCAATAGTAATTGTTGGTGCAATGCTTGACTCGAATAGTATTGTAGAAGAGGTGATTTAAGATAATAGTGGATTGGTTCCCTTGAAAGGGCTCAAGATTCTTTGTGAGAAAGGACATCAGTAATACAGCTCTGTAGAACCTTTCACAGGGTCAGTCAAGCAATCTCTGATTTTCCAGCCCCCTTGATGCAGGAACAAAATGAGTAAGAATCATAAAAGTCTTTTTTCAAATTTGACATATTTGTTTTATCATAGTGCTTCCATTACTTTTATATTTTAATGAATTTAAATACAGATTCTTAAAATGTACAAATCCAGTGTGTTTCTACAGTATATTTCAATTAACTTACTAGTGTATATAACATTGTCCATCTGTTCCAAGAAATAGATCCAGGACTGTACCGGGCCATATAGTGCTGACTTTACCCTTGTTAATAGTGAAAGAGCGAAGCAAACTGCTTGTGCCTGGTCAGCAGTGCAGAGTCTGTCTAAAAGCATTCCAATTAAGACAGCAGGTTCGATGGCTGCCTTGTCATCACAAAGTAAGAACATTTTCTTATTTTATTAGCTAATTTCTGTCTTTATGGATCAATTTCAGTACAAATTGGTCCTTGTCAAAAGTATTATTTTACATATATCTATGCAGGGTTCAGTGCTGGGACCCCAGCTGTTCACAATATACATTAATGATTTGGATGAAGGAATTGAATGCCATATCTCCAAATTTGTAGATAACACTAAGCTGGGCGGCAGTGCCTGCTGTGAGGAGGATGCTAATAGGCTGCAGGGTGACTTGGGCAGATTGACTGAGTGGGCAAATACTTGGCAAATACAATATAATGCGGATAAGTGTGAAGTTACCCACTTGGGTCACAAAAACAAGAGGCAGATTATGAATGGTGACAGTTTAGGAAAAGGTGAAGTGCAACGTGACCTGGTTGTCATGGTGGAAAAGTCGCTGAAGATTGACATGCAG